CTCTGAGCCTGCCAGTCCCAACTGAGGAAACACACAACACACACACCCCGACCTCGACCTGACCCCTAACCACAGGTCAGAACCTTCAAACAGCCCTCTGAAGGAGCCAGAACCGGATAACAGGTCCTCAGTGAAGACATGTCCTCATAAGGCAGAAATGTCCTCAAAGCGACTCCAAGAAAAGACTCTGACCGGTCCTCACAAAGCCATAGAAGCATGTGCATGCACACACAGTTAGTTAGAGACATTTCACTGATTTACATCAAGACTTTAAGCTCCGAGTTTAAACCAGGTCTTAGCCGTGACTCACAGTGTGGGGGCTGTTTGGGCCAAAGTCCCCACAGTGTTAATATGTGCACACACAGCAGGTGTGTGTCACCTGTCTGACATGTTGACCAAACAGCTGCCATGTCATGTCTCTGCTGGGTGTGCTCAACAGCTGCAACTCTGGCGCCAGGGTGACGCCGTTAGCGAGCGCTCTGTAGCCATCCATTACGGCATTAGTGTCGTTCAGCCTGTCACTTGTGAATATTAGTGTGTGTCCTCATTTATGTCACACAAACTGATTCTCTTTGGGTCCCTAACAAAACAACATGTTTTGTTAGAAACAGAAGTGGCAATTCATAAAAAGAAAAAAAAAAGAGATGAAAACAAGTGCTAACTGTGACGCTAACGGTAAGCATTTTGTTGTTCTAGCCCAGGACACTCAGGTAATACTATTGGATTAGTGAACACACACAGTCAGGTTTCCACCTCTTCAGAGGATGTTCCACTACTGCCATCTACTTCCTGGAGATGTGCCCTAATCTAAACCTGAACCCCAAAACAGGTCTGAGCCTTCAACAGAGAAAGGGCTGGACAACGCCCTTGCACCCAGAGCAAAGCGGTCCTCACAAAGATAGCCTTACAAACACACAGTCATTTCCTGTTTAGCTGACCCCACCCTTCCACACAGAGCAGCTCCATCCCTGATCTGTGGTCAGCACAGACGAGCTGAACACAACAGGCTTCTGCTGAATCACATGTGAAAACTCCATTTGCCGTGTCTGCAGGCCAACATGCTGCTTCTCTTCTACGTATCATAACGGTAGCAGAGCTGTGTCTTCTCGTCTCTGCGGTCACCGTGCATCTTCTTCATTGCTTCTGTCGTCATGCTGAGTCTCGGCAGTGTTTTGTGACTGTGTGGTCGTTACACATCCCGTTGTGTCTAGTCACGTGAGGGACTTTGCTTGGGATGAGGGTCAGAGTTTAATACTTCATTTTAAACTGGTGATTTTCACACGACTGAACCGAGCGGGCCTGTCGGGGCCCAGGCCCCCTGACCCTGGGGTCCCAGTAAACATGACCCACAGAGTGGACACACTCATATGACAAACATCACTTTAAAATGACAGGGAATGAGCCTGTTGGACTGGCCATGTGCACAGCACACTTTATTGAGCCCTTCGCCATATTAATACCGGCCCTGGACTTCACTAGGGAACAGCTGCTCCCTCGTCAGGCGGTCAAGCCGTCCATGTTCCTCGACGCCGTCTAGTGCAGTCGCAGCTTCTTGCCTTTTCTTTGTGCGTTTCTCTTCCCACACATCTGAACAGGGAGCAGAGAGCCTTACTAGAAAACGGCCTGTGGCCTTTGTGTTTGATAGAACGTCCCTGACAGCGGGAGGAGTCCTGCACGATGCTGGCGCCTCACACAGAGCAGTTGTGCGACAGAAGCCGCACGTTTTGCGTCTGAACACAAGTTGCTTTAAGCTTTAAGGAGTTAATCAAAACTAATGTGCCCAAACCTGAATTGAAATCACTGTCACACAAAGGCTGTCAACAGCTGGCACAGCTGATGTTGACGAGGTTTAGTCCAGGTGAGGTGTCTGGAATACAAGGGCAAGTCTGTCGACGCCGCACGACAACTGACCACCATCTTTAGTCTTGATTCAGCAGAATTTCTAAAGAGAATATTCAAACGGATCCAGTTTCCCCAGAAGCAGCACTGAAGCTGACACTGGCCAGACCAGCTGATGTGTGGAGCCGTTACTGGAGACATGACTGAAAACCATTTGTTTATTTTCACCAGCCATCCACTACCATCCATCAGATGGTCGATTAATACCCAACTCTCAGCAACTTTTTACAGTGTCAAACTCTAGTCGACGGCGTAGTCAGGTGCTGGAGCAACACGTAAGCCTTGCTAATACAACGGAGCAGGTGTCAACTCATCTGCAACCTTCTGCAACCGTCCTAGATACAAGGATGTCCTCCCAGAGCCTCCCCAGCAGACAGCGCGCTGCGCCCTCTCATGGTTACATTACCACTGAAGTACATCTGGAGAACATCTGGAGGTAACGCAGATATTAGATGTTGTGCTGACGACAAAAACCATTAGTTAATGTACTGTACACTCCTGTTGATCTAGATGTCAAGGAAATGAAGAGTAAAATGTCTAAAGTTTCCTGAGCTCCAGTCATCACTTCACCGAGCTGGAACCCGCCACTGTTCTGACACGTCTTTCTTCATAAACGCCTTGTTCATCGGTCACTGAACTGGCTGTAGTTCTATGAAAGCTGCAGTCACAGGAGCAGCAGAGGAAGGCCAGGCTTTGGAAAAACACTTCCACAACGTTCCTACAACCAAATACTGAAGGCTGGAAGCTGCCACGGTGCGTCTTTAACACACCATATTTAATACCAAGAGCTTGTTTTTAATAGAACCGTTCTCCATACGCTCTGCCGAAGCAAATGTCTCCACATTCCCTGAACTTGGGCTTAGGTTTGTAAAAAGCCTCCATTTGAAAATAACAACACAAGGAACATTATGGGAACATTATGGGAACATTAAAGGAGGTGTAAGAATGCTGGCACTTTGCTGGCTTTGGAAAAACTAACAACTGCCGAAATGTCTCCAGGACTAAAAACTGTTGTCAGAAATTTTCCCACATTTGTTTATAAGAACATTTTGGTAACAAATGTTATGTAATGAAATGTTTACAACAAGGTGGAGCATTCAGCAGAGATGTTGCATCTAGGGCTGCAACTAATCATAAGTTTCTATTACCCACATTGATCAGTCGATGTTTCCAAAAACATCCAAAACCAAATTAATCTTTGTTAAACCAATCAAATGTCAGAACATAACAAAACTGTCCACATCCCCTTTTCTCAAACCTCCAGCTCCGAACCTAAAAGAATCGGTGCTTCAGGGACCAGCAAAGGGGCAACTGACTTTCTGAACTTTAGAAAAACGTTGCCAGAACATTTTCGGAACCAAACACTTTTGTCTGAAACACACCTAGACCTGTTGTCACGCGGTGTTTTGTTGGTTTCTGTTTAGTTTTCTTGCTTTAGACACAGCAAACGCTGCTCCTGGACCTGGACCAGGGCCCCTGAAACCGAGCCCTCCTAAAACCTGGTGCTGCTGGAGTGTTCGGTCTGGTCCAGGTCCAGTTTGACATACGGTTCTGTAGTTACCCGGTGTCAGATTTTGCTACCTATCAAGACGTGCTACCCACCGTTCACAAAGTGGTTAGGGTTAGGGGGATGGATTGGGGCGGGGTTAGTCAGTCCATAGATACAAGAACAAGGTAGTATATCTCGACAAGGTAGCAAAATCTGACAGAACACGGGACCTCCACGGAGGAGCCACCGAGCAGAAAGCCAACATGTCTGTGTAACTGGGGTATTCTGGAGAGAGAGGCCTGCTCCGCTCGGCCCCTAGCCCGTGTTTCCAGTATCTCCTGTGGGGCACAGCGGCAGATGAGTGAGTAGGGTTTATGTCGATGAGAAGCTCCGGTGTTTATTGTCCCGAACACACATACAGTCACACGCACATCACCTCCTCCTCCCGCGGCCACGCCTGTTTTGCGTCCATGCATGGCGCACCGTTATTATCCCTCATCCTCCTACTGAGACTAATGGCTGCGGGGATACGAGCAGTCGGCATACGGGCTGAGGCGCACCGCGGTACGGCCACGGGGCGCCTATCGGGCCGGGAGAACGCACTGGGCCTCCGGGTGTCCGACCCGCGCAGCCGAGTCCACCAACATGAAGTTTGCGGAGGATGAGGGACTCCGTGTGTCCCCTCCCACGCACAGCTCCAATCACAGCAACAACAGAGACGCGGTATAAGACAGGAGCGACTCCCCTGCGCAGGACACACCGAGCCTCCAAAGTTGAGCTGAGCTGAAGAAGAGTCCAGCGGGAGAGGACGGAGAGACGGACCGAGAGGCGGAGGGGGGCGCCGCCCTCTGCTGCTGCTGCTGCAGGGAATGACGGGAAAGAATCCGCACTGCCCCCCCCAAATCCTCTTCTTCCTCCTCCAGCTCCTCCTCCTCCTCCTCCTCCTCCATCAGAGGCTGCGTCAGCGTGGGCCCGGCAGGCTCTGGATCACACTGGGATCCTGGTTTTCAGCTTTTATTTCTGAGTAGACTGTGCTGCGTTCAGGGACACATCTCTGAAACAAATCATAAAACTACAGCGTCATGAAAGCTACAGAGGCTAAACCGAAGCGGTGTCAGCGCCACCTGCAGGCTGCAGAGTCCACTACATCCTGAACATGTACAGCTTGGGGGTGGGGGGGGTCTGGGTCTGCAGCTCATGTCATGGAAGGGTCCACCCTGTGGAGAGCAGACAGCATGTAGTCGGTCTGACACCAGGACCACACGTCCAGCAGGACGGAACCAGTTCAATTCTATTCTGTTCAACTTTATTTGTATAGCGCCAAGTCACAGCAACAGTCACCTCAGGCTACAGAGTAAGGGCCAGTCCTCACAGTGTTAGAGGAGAACCCAACCAATCCTGCTTGGGGGTGGCATGGTGATGCAGTGGTTAGTGCATGTGATGCAACCAACGGCGGCTCTAATCGAAGGGCCCCTGGCTCGGGGTCCACTGATATGTTCATGATCACTTCCTCTTACTGCAAAACAGAGACTGGGACTTCGATAAATACCTAAACAGTTAGTGTGTGAAACTGTGTTCGGTCTAAGCAGGAAGTGATGTCACCCTAACCCTCAGTGTCAGCAGAGCCTGCGCTCATCAATGATTAATGTATTTAATGGATCTGCAGCTGTTAGTCAGCTGCTGTCAGAGGAAAAACCCAAAAGTAGCTGCAGTTTACTGTTGTGAACGTGATGTAACAGCTGCTGAGGCTCATGGGTACTGTTGTATTTAGGGTCTGCACACAGACAGAACAAAGGACAAGGAGTGTTTGTGATGGATGAACAGAACATAACCTGGATCAATAAGATGTTACAGTATCAGGGGATGGGGGGTGCTTCCTGAGCTCTGGGACGGTTCAATATGAAAGGGTGGAGTAAAGTGATCTGTGCTGAGCATCAGCACTGGGCCCATTACAGCCTGATGGAGCTCTGTATCGATGTCTGATGGAAACACTGGATCAACACGTGCAAAACAGAGGCACGTACCTGATGCTGCATTGACAGGCTCCACTACAGAACAGTCACAATAAGGCGGAGTTCACAGAGCACACAGTAGGAACTACACCCTGCTATCAAACCACAACTCAGCACTGTGTTGAGTATATAAGGTAGTTACCATCAGCTCCACCTTTACCAGCTGCAGCATTAAAGTGATGGACACAGTAATTAGTCACTATGATCCAGTATCAGAGACGTTACTGGGACACGGGCCGTTCTGCAGGACGAGTACCGGTACTGTTGGTACTTGAGGGACATTTGGGTACTGATACCTTTGTACTTCACTAACCTGCTGAATGCCTGACGGTATTTTTACTGTGGTTTTCTACTTTTACTGCAGTGAAGAACCACTGCATGTATAAAACTGAAGAAAGCACAGCATTAGTGTTTGTGTATAAAATGTGCTGTATAAATAACCTTGCCTTGCCAGTGGAGACATGATGTCACAGCAGTTACATCAAAGAAAACAGGAACGCACCTTCAGGTTTTCTGTTTTATTAAATAAAAACAAAGGACATCACAGATCAGTGGAAAGTCAACAGGTTTTCATCACAGACAAAAGAGCAGAGAGACGAGCAGCTGTCAGAACTCCAGCCACTCCGTCATGTAGATGCAGGTGGACGGAGAGATTTCTCCTCCTTCATGACAGTCGTCAAACACCTGAGGAGGAAAACAGGAAGTCAGCAAAAGCTGTGGTGCGGTCCTTCAACAGAAACCACGTCTGGGTGTGTGCCCTACCGGGCAGAGTCCGCAGGGTGTCTTCACCAGCCCCGTGGGCTGGATGATGGGGTTCACTCCACGGTAAAGCTTCATCTGTCCATCCACGCTGCCCACCGTTCCCTCCTTGGCGGCGATGACGGTCATCTCCGCCTTCCCGTCATAGATTAGTGTGTTCAGGATGGTCTCGATGTCGTCCATGGACAGATCCACCTGTAAACACCTGTCGGTCACACTGGCAGCAGTGTCTGATTCTGCATTTTACTCCTACTAGAAGCTCTGTGCGCACATGAATCACATTTCAGTTACATCTACGCACATGGCTGACACACACGGACAGGCAGCAGTGACACAAGGTCAGAGGTGACTGAAACACCAGAGCTGAACATTAAGGCCTGAGGTGTTGATGCAGCCGTAAGTGGCTCGTCTTTGCTCAGCAGGCGGCTATAATCTCGAGTGGTCAGTTTGAGGTGTGTGATGTCAGGGAAGGGGCGGGGCTATTAGAGCATCACCTTGCTGATTCCCAGCTCACAGATGTACTTCCAGACTTCATGCGAGGTGGCGAAGGAGCTGTTCCTCTGGACCATCGGGCTCTGTTTGCTGTCCCTCGCTGCTTCAGCCTGAATACACAAACACACAGCCTGAGGGTCATGTGACCAACTACCACACCTGAACCATCAGGCCCAAAGACCCATACTGAACACAGACCTTGTTCTCTGATCAATTCTATCTACTGGATCAGTGTGACTGATGACATGAGCTCTGTGAAAACCACTTTGACAGTCAGAGAGCACAAATGAGGGCAATAAACATAAATAACAACGTTCACCCAAGTACACGGATGGACAAACTTCAGCTTTCCATAACGTGAGGGGTATTCGTGGCTGTAGTGACAAGACTGAACATGATCAAAGTGGAGAAACATCATAATTACACATGGAACTTTATTCTTGAGGTTTCTAAAGAGTCTTCACTTTGCAGTCCGAGTCTCAAACATTTGTTTTGAGTTTAGTTTGATGAATTTCACTTTATTCTATTCAGCTGCATTTGGAGGAACCATTTATGTTCAGGTCAGCAGCGAGATGCAGTTGAATTGGATGGACTGGATGTTCAATTCTTCATCTTTCACTGGGACTGTATTTGTCATTTCCATAGCAAACGTATAGACAGAAACGTCGCTGCCCCCACCGACTCTCGTTACAACAGCAAAACACAAATCATTCCAAAGCACACGCCAGTTAGGACACAGATCCACAGTTGGTCGCTCCTGCAAACTGTCGGATCAGACTTTGCTGTGTGGGCCTCCTGTGTCAGTCAGTAATAACTATAACCGAGACAAAACTCTGAGAGCAGGGGCTTAAATGTTTAAGTAAAATCTGCTGTACCTTACTCTGGAGGAACTTGAAACACTGCTGGTTCAGAACTTCAACGAACTCGGACTCAAAGTCCTGGTCGCTGTACCAGGCGCCCCCCGTCACTGAGCGGTCCGGCTGCAGGTTGTACAGCATGTACACCTTCTTCTTGGACGCCTGCACACCAGAAACATGCAACTGTCAAGAGAGACACCGGTATCCCAGCAGGATCAGCTGATGAGGAACAAAGACAACCAGCAGAGGTTCTGCTCTGAGGGTCCAGGAGTCTGCACAGGACCGTGGCGTCCTGGCTGGGTGAAGGCTTTCATAAATAAATGTATTTATTTAATAAAGAGTGATACTATGAGGCCTCTGTGCTCATTGCTGTCCACCAGGCCTGGCTCTCCCACAGCACCATGTTGGCTGAGGCCCTCCTCTCCCACATCTCTCCCTGACCCTCTCACATTCAAAACAAACTGAGCGGGTCATTAATCACACTGCTTGAACTCCTCAGCTTTCCCACGTGTGCTGGCGCTCTGTTACCACTGAGCACACAGTTCTTTTTGAGATGTGTGTAGCTTGTGTTTGCTGGTTTACCGCGGGCTGGGTACACCGTACATGTGTGTTTCACTGTTTACTATTTTTTGGAGATTTGGACATAGTTTCTTTTCTCCAAGGAGTTTCTGTAGCTCCTCTGCGCTGTTTTCACACCGGTGGTTTTCAATGTGCAAGTGAACACACGCCTGGTACAGACACGAGTGCAAGCCTCATTCGAAATGTACGCGAGGTGCTACACGCTGCATACACTATGATTTTGGTCTGTGCCGCTGTGTGCGGCAGAAAATCAAGAGCGAGGGGAAACTGTTTGCCAGTGAATTGATCACCGATGTGTCGTTCTCTCAAACAGATAATTTCTAATAATAAAAGTGGGCAGCTGTTAATTTGGCTGAGCAGCCCAGCCAAGTCAGTTGTATGTGCAGGAAACACTGGACTGGGTTGTAGATTAATGAAGGACTCACAGCGACAGATTTCACAGCTTTGATGAGTTTCTTGCTCTCCAGGTTCTTCAGGATCTTGTTGATCTCGGTCAAAGGAAGGTTACTCTTGAAGCGGATATCTCTGCTCCAGATCCCTGCAGAAACCAGACACACGTTCGAACCTGTGCCCAGGTACAAACCGGGACAGGTGGCCAGTGTTGGTGCAGTTACCTTTGTTTCCTGCGTCCTCAATGATCTGATAAACCAGCTTCTCCTGGTTGTCTGAACCTTTCATCTTACTGAAGCACAACAGAAACAAAAGCAGGTCAGATTTACAGACCAGTCCAGACCATCAGGTGCCACACAGCGCCTGCACTGACGCCTCATCACCTGGATGATGTCACACGTTTCAGTGAAACACACCGTTTCACCACAGCGTCACCCCTTGGCCCGGTTTTTCAAAAGATTTAATCCGGATAAAATTGATCCGGATTCAGTAATCCTTTTTTTGCGATCCGTGATCACGTAATCCAGCTTACTTCTTGAGCCAGTTTTTCAAAGCAACATCGGATTGGATCAATCTGATCCGGATAGGAACTTTTCAGGATCACCAAATCTGGATAACCAGTGCTCAAACAGGATAGGAAATCACAATGTAGAACTATAGATATGTAAAGAGCAACAAGTAGAATAGCCAGTGTGGGGTCAATATACGTTTATTAGTCAATATACGTTTATTATTTAAATTTAAAAGAAACTAAACACAAGAAAAACCCCACCCCATCCTCTTCCAGCAGTCCGCTCATCTGAGACCTACAACACAAACACTGTACATCGAGGATATTTATAACAAGTTTCAAATATAGATGTATTGAATTACGAAAAGTGATCTAATGTCAAATACTCCACACTAATTTCAGACTTCCTCATCTGATGTGGAGAGACCAGCTTGTCTGAGCGTAGCCTTTAGGAGGCGGATCTCAAGTCTGGCCTTGGTTTGCTGCAGTTTGGTCAGAGTCAGTTGTTCCTCTGCCAGATGAAGCTGTGCTTCTGCCCTTTCAGTCTCTTTTTGCAGAAGTGCCTTGTAATCATCATCTTTGTTTGATGAAGGGCGCTTCAAGCCTTTGCTCTGAGATCCTGTGGCAACTACCACTGGCTCAACCAATGAGGATCCAGCTTCTTCCTCAGGAACAGAGCTGAGATTCAATATAAATACGCTCTCTGGATCAGCCTCAGGAGGAACTGGCAGATTCACCTCCTCCTCCTCAATCCAAGGCTCGCCATCCCCTACAACACCTTGAATACCATGAAGAGCTTGCGACTTCTCACCTCCAATGATGTCGAGGACCACATCTGTGTAATCCCCCCTCTTAAATGGCTTGTTGCCTGTTTGTGGGTTTTTGGCTTCAGCATGGTCCTTTGTTGCCCTGGCCTTAAGATTCTTCCACCGCAATTTGATTTGGTCTGTGGTCCTCCTCTGGCCAGACCCTATGGCATTCACATTGTCTGTGATTAAAATCCAAACATCATTTTTCTTTTTGTTGGTATCCTTAGCAGAAATAAAACTTCCCACTATTGTTCCATAATGGCGTGTCATGCTGCTACGCTTTACCACTGAACTTTGTGAGAACATGAGTGTGATAAGACAAGAGACACTGTGAGAAGATGGGCAAGGAAGACGTGACCAGGTGATGTGTACCTGTGTAGCTCAGTATGGACCTGTGTGTGTACTGTATGTGTCTGCACACCTGTGCATATATCTGGATGGGTGTGTGTGTACCTGGTGCTCTGAGAATCCTTCAGTCTGTACAAGAGACCTGAACTGTTCCTCAGCAGGTCCAGCTGACCCTGAAACAGGTCATATGATAAGTTTAGATCAGCTGACATCAACAGCTAATCAGTCAGACTGCGCAGGTAATGATGAGATGCACAACCAGCTGGCCAATCAGGAGAGAGGAGTGAGCAGTGACATCATCAGACTGACCAGTGACAACAGCTTGTTGATGGCCATGGCTCTCTGCTGAGGCTCCAGGTGAGGCAGGTCATTCTGTATCACCTGGTCTGTGATGCCGTGAGGAAACTGCTGGCACAGCTCTTTGATCCTGCGACACACACATACACACACACACACTCAAAACGATGAGTCGATTAATCGACTGACAGAGAACTTATCTACTGTCACAGTGAAGCCAAGTTTCTCTGGGTCTGAAGACGTCACGCTGGACTCTGAGAAACTGTGAACGACGTCTTTTACTATTTTCTGACAGGTTATTGATGAAGCTTACTGATTAATAACAAAAATGTTGCTTTAAATCAACAGAAGCATTTGTTCTAAGTGAAACATGTCGAGTGTCACATTCATGGTCTGGTATCTTCATCCATTATCGATTAGTTTCTGTCTGTATTACAGACACATTTCTGTTTAAATCTGACTAATTTGGCTTGTTTTATTAAACAAAGAAAGAAAATATAAGTCTATCAAAAATGATTGTTTTACAGCAGAATAAAAACTCCAAAATGAAACTTTTATTTAGCGGTCGTGCAACTTCCATCCATCCATCCATCCCTGATCTATACCGCTGATCCCGGTGAGGGTCGCGGGGGTTGGAACCAATCTGACAGTGGGCGAGAGGCGGGGTCCACCCCGGACAGGTTGCCAGGGTATCACAGAGGGCTGAAGCTTATAGTTGTTTTAATTTTGAGTATTATTATTACTGGTCAATAAAACTATGAAGCTGATGATTCAAAGTATTGTTTTGTCAGTTGGACATCATTCTACTCGCCCAGCCGTCAGTCGAGGGCTGTGGGGAATTTAAACCACATTCTGGGTACAATAACCCCCATGCTGCTGTATTCTAGGTATGAAAGTGTTTTTCCTAAATCTAAAAGTAAAATACTTGAGTTCATCAACGCATTAAAACTCCAATTTGACCTCAATTCAGTAAAATGCCCTGTTAGAGGAAAAGGTCCTGTGATGCTTAGAGACTGTTCCTTCATCAGACTCCTCAAGCGGGGCAGCCAAAGGAGACCCACGACAATTGACCCACGAACATAACTGCTTTAAATGAGACAAGTATTTGATATGAAGAAATGAACATAACAGGAGGGAACCTTCCTGTTATGTTCATTTCTCAGGTGATGCCTGCTCAGCAGTTATGTTGTGGGTCAAATTGACCCACAACATAACAGAAGGGTTAAAAGACCAGCAACTATCCAGATTTTGGCGACATATGTAGCTTCTGTCTTGAATAGACACCGAATTTACAATATGTTCAATGCAGTTCTAAAAACGTATTTACTTGGGCAATGTGTCCTCTGTGTCTAATGATAGCAAAGAAAACACAAAATCTGACAGAATGTTGGCGCATGTCAGGTCAATCCTCTCTCCAACAAAACAGCACCATCGGCTCAGATGTAAAACCGCTAACGTTGTACGTCTAACCTGTTCTCAATCTCGGCGGGGTCTGAAAGATCAATCTCCTTCTTTACTTTGACTTCCTCCATTTTTTTAACTCCGTCGGATGTAGCTTTTCGTCCGAGCCACTCAGATTATTAGCCTGGTAGCATACGGTCAATGCAGACATGCTAGCTCGGGGTCCTCTGAAGTTAGCTGCCGACGGGCGCGTCCTGAAAAGTGCCTGTTTATAAAACAAAAAACGGTGATGAACAAACAGAAATACATAAAAACAACAGTCGCCAGTGCTTTCACTTGTTACTGATCAGCCTGTTATTTCCAAATAAAGAAAGAATAAAGTAGGGTATATAAAAGCTACACAAGAACAACAAAAGTGCGCAAAAACAGACATTTAACATAACCTTAAAATGACTCTCTTGGCTTGTTGAATAAATTTAATTAACTCCGATAATTTATCATGATAAGGAAGATACCAGAGATGTTAAAAACAGGGTAGCCCGATACAGAAAGTCTGTAAGAAATTTGTGATGAGTCTCTAACTTTGAGAAAATAGCCGAGAATCTTTGTAGTTTTTTCTGTTCTAAAGAAGTTATAAGGTCACCGAAACTACTATGTTGAGCTGCATTACTTATTAGGCTTATTTGTCATTATACAGAAATATTTTCTCTTTTTGATGAAAGTGATAACATATTATAAGGCTTTAAGTTTATTTAATGTTTTCACAATTCTAGCGCCTATTTTGTCTTCTTCTGGGCGTCTTTCGTGGCATGTTGAACGTTAAAAAAAGAGAAAAGTAGCATACGATCCAGTTTTCTTTTTAGCCACGCCCACTGCCTTCACACTTTTTAGATGTGCGCATGCGCCGCCCGAGGTCGTTTCTATGGTGACGCTTTTGTAACAAACCCTCCTCCGTCTCACCTGTATTTTAATTTGAGGTAAGAAACTGTTTATCAACGCTACTCAGTTTAAAGGGAAAATGCATAAATCCGTTTTAATCTTCTGTTCAAGTTCTGCTTCGAACTCAATCTCAGTCAAAATTAGCGGGCCAAACGCAGTAGAAGTGTCCAGCTACCACACGTAGGCTCCCTGATTTTGACAGTGTTCAGAGGACGTTGCTTGCTTAGAAAACTGATTTGTGGAAAACAGTGAAAATAGTGTATCAGAGTCAGAATCAAATCAAACTAAATTAGCAGGTACAAGGAATTCACTGTGGTCTCAACATAAACAGCAACATTAAAATGTGATGAAATAAAATGATAAAGGCAGTAAACATGAAAATAACAGTGGTGGCCGGGGGATTATTCAGATTCCATGTAGTGCACTAACGTGATATTTGTGAATGCAGGTGAGTATAAATATGAGTAGGCTAATGGAGTCAAAAGAGAGTATAGAAAGGAAGACTAATAAATAAATAAGTAATAATGAGCAGGACAAACAAAGTGTGATAACTACCCAACAAGCATCAGTCCTTTAAAGGAACAGTCCATTAAATCTACAATCCCCCTGCAAATGTGTCACAGTTGTCTTTGTAGAGTATTTCTGAACAGACTGAATCTGACTGACGTTGGAGGTTTTTTCTCCGGTGAAGCAAAGTAATGAAGTACTTTTATACAACCCCACTGTACTTAATTTTGAGGTACTTGTATTCCAAGTCAAGTTAGTCATTAGTTCCTGAGTACTTTTGCATTGTTTTGTTTGTAACTCTGAGTACATCTTTGCCCTGCTGCTTGAATAACAGGCAGTTAATCATCTCCATCACTGATTGAATAACTTACAGGTAGACAGTGGTCGTCATGACAGCGGGAGCGGTGTCAGCTCCGCTCATCATTCCCATCATCCCCCTGCAGACACACAGAGCCAAGAACCACATCAACACCAACACACCTGTCTCCATCCAGTCAGGTACAACCACACACACCTGCCTGTCCTTCATCATCATCATCATCCTTTTTTTTCTACTCAGCATCAGGTGTGGAGGACTCAGGTTGTCAGCATGTTGGGGCAGACGGAGGCCTGCGTTCAACCCTGAAATCCTCACAGACAATGTTCATGTTTTCTTGTGGAAATGAGACAATAAAAGCATCTCATGTAAACAAATATCCTCTTTCAGGAGTCAGATCCTGGAGCTGCCATCACACAGTGACTGAGGAGTCTTTAGTCTGCTGACATGTCCTTGAACAGGCTCCAGTCTTTATGCTAAGCTAGGCTAACTACATCCTGACTGTAGCTCATGGGTAGATGTAAGAACTGGATACTGGTATATAAGTTGGTTCCCAGTCACCTCAGTGAATGATGCTCATTACACTTACAAGACAAAACCTTATACTCTCCTCTGCAAACACAGATTTACACTGAGAAAACATAACATGTTCTATGATCTGAAGTTGTTCAAATGTGACCTGGTGAGCGGCGAGATGTGTGTGTAGCCAGTATGTATATATGTTTATATTTCATATGTGCATGTTCGTTTGTAATACATAGTATCTGTGTGGATGTGTGTATCTGTGTGTGCAGACACTCCAGGTGTGTTGATCATCTACACTCTGGATGGGTCGAAGCCAGAGGCAGTGCAGCGGGGGTCAGCCGGCAGCAGCAGGAAGTACAGCAAGCCGATCCTACTGCCTGCTGGTAGAGTGTCTGTCAGAGCTGTGGCTGTGACCAGGTACTGCTCCCCTGACAGTCACCAACCTGTCGGGTTATTTATCACTTCATTCTTTTTAAATTCTTGAATTAGAACCACCAGTTTATGCCTGCAGGGTTAATGATATTATTACAGTAAGTTTGGAGTTTGCTTCATTTTTCCAAAGTTCATCTTTTCTTGTCTTTGTGGAGAAAACTCATTTTAAAGGCCAGTGCATGGAGACATCTCACATGTCCAACTTTAGAGCCACTGAGTGAAACAAAAACTTACTATGATGAGATGTGCAAGCAGCTTAACACTACTTCTCCAAAGGTGCCAGTGGAGAAACAACACCGCTGCTTCACACACACACACACACACACACACACACACACACACACACACACACACACACACACACACACACACACACCCCTCTTTTCTTGCTCACCAGGATTAAGACTTCCTAAAGTCCACTGACATCTCCACTGTTCTGAGCGTGTTCAGCTCCAGGTTGTTATGACTGCACCACAGGACCCGTCTGTAGGCTCACCACTCACCACCGTCTCGGATGAGACCAATGATCGCTGTGTCATCTGCTGTCACTGGCCTGTCCTGGACTTTCTAACTGGCAGGCCCCAGACTGTCAGGATTGGCAATAGAACCTCAACCACCATCATCACGAACATCGGCACCCCACAAGGAAGTGTCCTCAGTCCCATCCTCTACACCCTGTTCACCCACGACTGTGGGCAAACTCCAAACTTACTCCCACAAAGACAACATCATCCTAAAGTTCACAGACAACACCGCAGTGATAGGTCGCATCACTGGTGGGGACGAAGCAGCCTACTGGAGGGAGGTGGCTGGTCTGGTGCAAGAACACTTTGGATCATGTTTACAGTAACATACGTGGTGCATACAGGGCTGCACCCCGCCCCCACCTTGGACGCTCAGATCACATTTCTTTGTTCCTGTATCCAGCTTACAGACAAAGACTGAAACAAACAAACCCTGGTTTGGCATGTCGCCTAGGATCCTCAGCAATTTCTACATCTGCATCATTGAGAGCATCTTGACCAGCTGCATCACTGTCTGGTATGGCAGCACTACTGCTATGGACCACTAGCGCCTGCAGAGAGTGGTAAAGACTGTGGAGAAGATCACCAGGACTCCACTGCCCTCTCTGCAGAGCATTTACCACAGTAGGGAGAACAGCTCCCATGTAGCATACATTCTCTCTACATTATATTGTGTTCTTGTTGTATTTCTATTATACTTCTTTCATTTGCTGTTTTAAAGTGCCTTAGATTTGTGTTACCTGCTTATCTACTTTATATTTCACTTGTATTGTGTGGCATTCATGTGGACGGCCAAGTAGGAAACACATTTCCTAACTGTGCATATGGCAATAAACACTATGACTTGACTTGAACTTCAGGAGTTTAACAGAGGGATCCTCTGAGATGCATTTGCTGGTGTAGGTCGTTGGTGTGCTGATAGTCTGGGTGCTGGATGTGGTTTTCCCCAGCCTCACCTGCTGCTTCCTGTCTGTCAGAAAGCTGGTGATGTACACGTACAGTAACACCACAGGAGCAGTTAATAGCATAAAGCTGACAGTGAGACCACAATCAACAGGAACACCTGCAGCTTACAAATTAAGGTTCCCCATCTGTATCTTTACTGTGTTGCTACAAAACATCAACAATAATAGTGTCTTCAGTGTTGCAGGGAGAAAAGAATAAATACATTAACACCATAACTGACTAAAGCACAAGAGAATTGATTAAATACAGAGTCTGACATCTGAGGTGTAGCTCTAGCACTGAAATAACTTCTGCTCCCAAAACTGCACCAACAGGTATTTCTAGGAACTAAATCAGAATCTGACCTAATCTGTCAGAGGCAGCCGGACCTGCTACAGAGTCTTGAAAAGACTTCTTTGATTCTCTGTAGAGCATCTGTGATATTATCACTTTTTATTTTTTATTAAAAAGTTGTGTGTCTACAGTGACGGCAGGGAGAGCTCCATGGTGACCAAAGTTTTCTCTGTCGAACCTGTGGATTCAAACAGCAGGACTGAGAATGAGGACAACGTCCTGCAGAATGACCAGCAGGTAGTCAAACACCAGATTACATTTTCCATCAGCTGTAGAGCCACCTGCCTCTCCATAGAATCAACATCTTCCATCATCCTTCTACCAGATTTAACTCTTTTTAAAGGTGTCTTAAAATACAGTAAAGGGTTTTTAAATACTGTAAAGTATTATGTCCCCTGTTTCTTCCACATTCTGCTGCTTTTATTTCAGTGTCCATCTGAAGGAGCTTCCTGCTATCCTGAGAATACTGCTGGTTCTTCACTGAAGCCTGCAGGTCTGCGCTGTCTTTTCTAATTTCAAACACATGAAGCAGCTGAAAATGTACAGAAAATTGCAAGAAGAATTAAAATATTCAGTTAAATACTGCAGTTGTTCTAACTGTGTTCAAGTACTGTAAATAGCGAGGGTGAGATTAAAACAATTCTGGTTTTTCCAGAGTCAGATGTTTCAGTTTCATGTGTTTAGCCTAGCTTAGCCTAGCACAAAGACTGGATGCAGGGGCTAATTGCTATCTTAACTGCTGTAAATGGAGTCATTTTCAGCCACAAAAAAAGAAAAAGAAAAAAGGGCATGTTTAGCTTACCATAGCACACTGAGCTAGCTGATGAGGCTTCTATGAAAATATGATTTTTATTGACTTGACGTTCTGGTTACCAGAACTAACATTATATTATTTGTCTGAAGCTGGACCATTTTACAATAGCTACAAACATCTAGTTTTTCTGATTTTTTGGTAATGGGTTATAGCTAATCAGTGGAGCCTAGTGTAGCACAAAGACTGGAAACAGAAAAAAACTGTTAGCCGAGCTCTATCAAAAGAGAGAAAATCCACCTTCAGCAACTCCAAGTTTGTCCAGTTTACATTAATATACAGTCTGTGGCCGGTAGCCAACAAGCAAGTCAGTGGTCCATCTTGTAGTCATCTGGGGTCTAGTTAGCCATGGGTCACGAAAACAAATCTAACTTAATCTCCAACTATTGTACTTATTAAGACTTGTACTGTACTGACTACAGTACTGACTACTACTACTGTACTACTCTGAACCAAGAACATGAAAAGAACATCAAACTAGTTAATTTTCTAACACAACACTGCCATGTTGGGAAGGCCTTGGTGGTAGGGCCCAGGACATGTAGCCTAGCTTAGTGCAAATTAAACATACATTTACACATATAAAACAGTGTCATCTGCATAAAAGTGGATATTGAGGAACAGATTAAAAAGAATAAGATGAACAGCAGTGGACCAAGAATAATGCTAGTGTTAATGTTTGTATCCAGGGCCAAGGATGGAAGACAGTTCTCCTCAATCAGGTCCTCGTATTCTGAACAGTCGACTAGGCTTTCCCAGCCCCTTGGTAGCCCAGTCTGGATCTTGCCAACATTCCCAGTCAGCGGTAAACAGAGCAAACTACACAGACTCATTCAAGCTAATACCAAACTACTGTCTGGTGATTTTTAGTTTGTTGTTTCCTGCCTGTCAGAATTCGGGCACGTTCAAGCAGCTGAGCAGCACACAGACGTCCCGAATCCACCGAGAGACAGACTTCCTGCGGTATGGACAGAGACACTAATCTGTTAGCAGATACGTTTCTTTTTCTCCCAGAAGATTTCCATTGGGGCAAATCTTCTACTTATGGCCAAAAGTATGTGGACAGCTTAATGCGTGTTTCTGCTCATTTCAAATATCCATCTGTGTGTGTTCCCGACAGCCAGAATCAGCTGATTCCATCTCTCCCATGGTGGAGGGGCAGCTCTTGGTTTCAGCTGGTGAATTGAAGCTGACAGGGATGTCCACATACTTTTGGCCTTATAGGAGCAAATGTGAATCTGGCTATATGGACCTGAAGCTTCACTTGAGCTTCTTCAAAAACTGGAAGAGTTCATGATGAAAATCACGAAATGAACAAATTCCAAATATTATGAAGTAAATATGAAACCAGCAGCTTAACAACATACCTGCCTGTGTCTGTACCTGTTTGTCCAGGTGCGCTCAGTGTTTGAGTTTTCGCCCTTCAGATCCTTTTGCTCGGTTCTGTGCTCAGTGTGGAGCTGTGGTTCCTCCGTTACCTGGACAGAGGCTGCCCCCTACTGAGGGAGGACAGGTACTGCACCTACACCTGAACTACACCTGATGACGTCCCAGGTGCACTCTACAGTGACTATATGAATACAGCAGTGTAGTCAGTACTGTGTCATGAGTTCAGATGTGAACATTTTGTGGCCTGCCCAAACATTGACATTTTTAAAATTTTTAACCCATTATAGTCACCATTTGTTGAAACCTTGTTCCTCAGGATGTTTTGAGGCGTCTCGTGTGTACTTTACTAGGCCTAGTGAGTCCATGTGTATCTTTTTGTTATCAGACAGTTCGTTGTGTGTTCTGTAACACTGTGGTCCCTGCCAACACCCACACCTGTTTGATCTGTGAGGCCTCCATCCACCAGCAGCTACAGCCACAGGCCACGCTTGCACTGCAGGTATATACAGTAAATACACCCATTTTACACAGAAACACCTGCATCAGGAGTTTCACCTGTTCAGTGTGAAGCTAGAAGATTATTTTCTCAAAAATATGTTTAACTTCATTTGATCTTTGTTCTCCTAAGATATTTTTTCCTGACTTTATTGTAGTATTGTTATTTTTTCATCTCATTCATTCTTATTTTTAGTCTTATTCTCACATACTGTAATTCTGACTGTTCTTACAGATTTTATCCATCCAACTTTTTTTTTCGTACACACATTTTCTCTCTTCATGGAGACACAAAATGACAACTCCTCAAAAAACTTTTTTGTAAAGCGAGTTATAATGTTTTCTGTAAAATTACAACTTTCATCTATTAAAGCCATGTTTTGTAAAAATTACTATTTGCAAAAGGCGTTAGCTTTTGACTTCAATGCTTTTCTTACAAATCGATGACCTTCTTCTGACCTTTTTACTTCCTCATGAAATTACAACTTTTCTCAATGAAATTAAAACTTTATCATAACATTTTATCTTTATTTTCTTGATGTATGTCTCTGTGCTTTCTGTCAGTATTTATGTTTTGCAATAAAATCTCACACATCAGCAGTAACTGTCTGGTTAAAGATCTTATATAACGCTTTTCTATACAAGGAGGTGCACTTCAAGTGCTTTACACTATAAGACCACTCGCACACACAAACATTCACCAGGAGCAACTCAACTCAGCGTCCTACCCACAGCATGTGAACTGTAGTAGCCAAGGATCGAACCCCCAACTCTAGGATTAGGGGACAAACTGCTCTACCACCTGAGACACAGCCTCCCTTGTGTGTGTTTGTTATGTAGGATCACGTGGTGTGTGTTTGCTGTGGAAGTGGGAATCCAGCTCACATCTCCAGGTGTTTGACCTGTGAGAGCCGCCTGCAGCCGGTAATGCCTGCACACAAACACTGCATGTATGACATTTACTCTGTTTTTACTGGCTCATCTCCAAAAACATATTAACGTATTGTTTGTATTCTGTGTTGTTGTTGTTGTTGTTGTTGCTGTAGGCGGTGAGGGTCGGTAACAGCGCCCCCTCGGTCTCGTCAGCTCACAGCAAGACGTTGTCCTGCTCCAGGTGTAAACGTATGAACCGAGGTGATGCCCGATACTGTGACTGGTGCGGCTCCAAGGTGAGCACATACCTGAACACACCTGAACTCACAATTGTACCGCATCACACAATACTGCAGAGACAAGCAGTAACTGAGCGTGCACATCGGCGTCCAGCTGCTGACCACAGTTTGACTCCTTATCAGGGGAACTGTCTCTCTGTCATCCAAAGACAAAATGTGTTTAGCTCAGCACAAAGACGGGAAGCAAAGGGAAACTGTTCCACCTTAAACAGTCTTATACTTGTAAAGTGCTTTTCTACGCACTGCGGCACACCCACAGCGCTTTCACACTATTTGCCCACTCACCCTCCAAAACACTCACACATAGCAACAGGGGAATTTAGTGTCTCACTCAAGGACAACATATAGACTGAAGAAGCCAGGAATCGAACCGCCTTCCTTCCAGTTGGGAGACGACCCGCTCTATCTCCTGAGCCACAGCCACCCCTTAATAAGCCTTCCAGTTAATGATGGATCAATGTTAACCATCAAACCCTATAGGAAATACAGAATCACTAAGACGGGCTCTAAATGTACAGTTAGCGCCCTGCTAATGTTGGATGACTTAGCATAATCCTCACTGTAAATGATAGTTATTAACCCTGCTAATGTTGGATGACTTAATCCTCACTGTAAATGATAGTTATTAGATTGTGTTACCAGTTTCCCCCGATACTATTTTGTGCTAAGCTAGTGTGGGGAGTGAAACATTTTGGAATATGTTGTGATGCGATGTATGTTTGTAGCCCGGCCATGCAGCCAGCTATGTGATGTGTAGGCGATGTGGAGCAAGCGGACATCCATACGCCTCTTATTGCGCAGTGTGTGGTGTCTACCTGGAGCCACCGGCCCCGCCCACATCCCGCAGTAACGCCACACAAGCTGTCAAGGGCAGCGCCCCCAACCAGGTATGCTACAGCACTCACATCATGCCATTCACACACTTCATAATACAGTATCTGATGCACCTGTGTATGAGCAGACCTCAACTGCCACCTGGAAGGCCACATCCTCACGCCGTGCCCCCACTGTGAAGGTAGCCCCGCCCACTGTGGATCAGTGTACACAGACTGTAGGACTCTATTTCCCATCAGCCACTGAGCTCCACAGGAAGGAGCAGCAGAGGGTGCTACAGCTTAGCAGAGAGCATGCCACCAGAGACCGCCAACCACTGCTGACCGCCATCAGCCCAGGAAGAGGTTAAATATTACTACTACTACTAATACCACTACTAATGATACTGCCACTCCTGGCAGATGTACAGTACTACTACTACTAGTACTGATCACGCTCAGGCTCAGAAGAGATACAGTACCATAGATATTACTGCTTCTCCTTCTGCTGTGTATGTCATAAGCCCTGAGAGAGAGCGAGTGTTGGGGGTCGGGGCTGCTGTTGTTTTACAGGTGGGGCTGGTTGTCTTCTGACCTACTGGTGTTTTCAGGTTACTGGAGGAAGCAGCTAGATCATATGTGTGCTCATCTGAGGAGTTACGCTCAGAACAACGCCCCCTTCAGGACACTGCTGGGAGAGCCTCGCCTGGGCCGGGTATGCTGCACCTCACCTGCACATCAGTGACATCACCTGTTGGACAAATTAACCAGATTATTAAACGAACTGTCACACCTAGGCTAGGCCGTCCCTGGTAGGCTAGTGGTTAAGGCGCAGCGCTCTCGCCACTGCGGCCCGGGTAGGAATCAGGGTTGCATCAGGAAGGGCATCTGGAGTAAAACACGTGCCAAATGTCAACATGCGAATTGTCAGTGTGACGACTCGCTGTGGCGACCCCTAAACGGGAAAAGCCGAAAGTGACATTCTTTATTTTCACACCACTCACTGTGTGACTGAATCAGGTTTAGACGTCTGCCAAAAGGTTGGCTTGGGTTCAGACTCGGTGGGAAACATGTTCAGGTTGGCAGGCACCAGAACCACCTGAGCAGGTGCCAGCGCGATGTGGTTCACTTCCTGTGTGTGTTGTGTTGCTGCTCTCCTTCAGATGGTTTCTGCTGTGATTCAGGAAGATCAGTATGAAGTCAGTCTGACCCTTCGTTTCGTCCTGGCCGGAAGGGAAATAAAAGAGGTGCGTCCAAAACATGTGACCTGACAAGATCAGGACATAAACTTATTGAGATTTTTTAAAATTCTTATGTCTTATTAAAAAGTTGAGCTTGAATATATGTCTGGTCCCAGGTTGGTCCTGAAGGTGGCGCTGCAGAGCCAGCAGGTGGTGATGTTATGCCTGCAGGTCTGAGCAGCGTTACAGAGAAATCAGCCGACCGCAGCACGACCAGTAAGAATGATTCCTGTATGTACATATTTACATGCACTCAATGGTCAGTTTATTAGGAACCCGTGTCAAACTAAGTCGGTCTGATCTATCAGTGCTGTAGTGAATCCTCCTTCCTGAAGGTGATAATGTTCAGTTTGTGTTCAGACTGTGTCACAGAGGTGCTGTTCACCCATGTGATCACTGTGGAGGCTGCAGGTTGTGCTGCTGTTCAGCTGCACTGTGTTGCAAGATATGATTAGATAAACTTTATTGTTCCCTTGGGTTTAATGTCACTGCATCACACTGATTTAGCATCATTCATAACTAAAACACATACAATATATTTATAAAAACAAATGCAATGAAGAAACAGGGTTCATGGTTGGTGCCTTAGGGGCCAATAAGACCACTTTAAGGCCACAACCATCGTCCCCCTTCCCAAGAAGAGCCCGGTCACCTGCCTGAACGACTACAGGCCAGTGGCACTCACCCCAATTATTATGAAGTGTTTTGAGAGAGTGGTGCTGGCCCGCATTCAGAGCAGTATACTGGACACCCTGGGCCCCCTGCAGTATGCCTACCGGCCCAACAGGGCCACCTCATCGCGTGGCTGCCCTCCACTATTCCCTTTCTCACCTGGAAAATGGAGACTCCTACATCAGGATACTCTTCATTGACTACAGCTCCACCTTCAACCCAGTTGTCCCCAACAAACTCACCCACAAACTGTCCACACTAGGTCTGCACCCCACCCTCTGTGACTGGCTCCTGGACTTTCTGACTGGCAGGCCCCAGACTGTCAGGATTGGCAATAGGACTTCAGCCAGCATTGATACAAACACTAGCCCCCCCCAGGGATGTGTCCTCAGTCCCATCCTCTACACCCTGTTCACCCACGACTGTGCCGCCTCCCACAAAGACAACATCATCCTGAAGTTTGCAGACGACACCACAGTAATAGGTCGCATCACTGGCAGGGACGAAGCAGCCTACAGGAGGGAGGTGGCCGGTCTGGTGTCTTGGTGCAAGGACAATAATCTCAGCCTCAACATTGACAAGACGAAGGAGATGATAGTGGACATGAGGAAGGAGAGGAGATCTCATTGGCTGCGGTTGATACAGGGGGTGGGAGGG